ACATAGAGTAACAAAGTCATCCGACACAAACTCACCCCCATTGTCACTACGAATGCATCTTATTTCCCTCCCATAAAGTTTAAAAAACTGAGCAAACTTATTAATTGCCTCATCCTTGTGAGCAAGGAAAAAAACCCAAGTAAAATGAGAGAAGTCATCAACAAGAACAAGCACGTAATTATTGCCACCTAAACTGGTAACTGTGCAAGGACCAAAGAGGTCCATGTGAATTAGTTCAAAAACATGAGTGGTAGTGATGTCAGATTTGGATTTAAAAAACCTTTTAGTATGTTTTTCCAGCAACACAGGTAGCACAAAAGAACCAAGATTTCTCTTTCAAACAGGGCATCCCTCTGACTGAGTTTGATTTAGACAAGGCGGACAACTTTCTTAGACTCAAGTGTCGTAGTTTCCTATGCCACAACATATCAGGAGTAGCAACAGCAACAACAAGACAGGTTTCATTAAAAGCAGTGAGATCCAAAAGGTTAATGATATACATATTATTAGTGTGATTACCAATAAACAGAACCTTTTGATCAATAATCCGCTCAAGTCTCAACCATGCATTTGTCATCTTCAAAAGTAACCTTGTTACCATTGCTACAAAGCTGACTTATGGATAATAAGTTATGCTTTAGCCCATCAACTAATAGCACATCATTAATCATAGGATAAGGATGACTACCAAAAATACCACATCCAACAACTTGACCACAGTTATCATCTCCAAAGATAACCTTACCTCCTAGTCTAGGCGTAATAAAAGAGAAAAGAAGCTTATTACCAGACATGTGGTGAGAACAGCCGCTGTCAAGGTACCAGTTGTAAGGATTATGATCGGATGGATCATGAATGGTAGTACTGAAATATATCTCTTGACTACTATGACTTGGATGATCGGCGAGGATTGCCATATACGGCTTGTCATAGTTGGGTTCATCATCTGACCCTTCGTCATAATCACTCCAGGTGGCAAGCATGGCTTTCTCCTTGGCTTTCAGAGTTTGAGGACAATTTGCCCTTATATGGCCAGGTCTTCCACACTTATAGCAAGCTTGTCCTTCTTTTTCAGAGTTTCCATTATCAACAAACCTGGAAGAAACTGCTAAGAATATTCTATAGAAACAACTTTAGAACGATCATTAGTAGTCACGGGATTAAGAGATCTACCAGGATCATGCATCTTGCCATTAGAATTATAGTATCTCTCAGTATCCCGAGAACGTTGCTTTCTATTATTCTTATATTGCATCATCTTGTGGAATTTCTTACTAACCAGCACAAATTCTTTATCAAATTAACTATCACTATCATTGTCAGAATCATAGTCCACAAAACGAATTTTGAAAGCAATGTTCTTTTTCCGTTTCTCATCCTCCCCTCCTACTTGTTTCAAGACATGCTCATGACTTAGGAGAGAACTGATTAATTCATCAACATGTAAAATTCTCAAATCTTTTTCTTCCTCAATGGCGGTTCTTTTAGGAAGCCACTCCTTTGGAAGAGTTCTAAGAATCTTTCGCACTAAATCTTTGGATTCAAAAGTTCTGCCTAATCCTTTTAATCTATTAATTAAAACAGTAAATCGAGAGTGCATTTCTTGAATACTTTCACCTGATTTCATGAAGAAGGACTCATATTCGTGCATCAGCAAGTCGATGCGTGATTCCTTGATGTTGGATGTGCCTTCATACGTCTTCTCCAGAGATTGCCAGATATCCCTCCCTGTTTGACTTTATTGGTTTCATCGGGAGACATGGCAGACTGCAAAATATGCATGGCTCGGCAGTTCAATTGGGCGCTCTTCTTTTGCGCTGCGGTCCAGGTGGATTGTTCGTCGAGATTCATCTCGATGGGGCCATCTTGAACTACAACCCAGAGTTCTTCATCGACTCCCCAAATGAATGTGCGCATTCTCTTTTTCCAAGCATTATAATTCGATCCGGTGAAAAGAGGTGGAAGATTGTGAGACTTATTACTGAAAGAAGAAGTAGTCATAGTGAATCGAACCTCGGTGGTGCTAAACCTCTTCGAGGCCTGGCTCTGATACCAGATTGAAAAACGATAATGGCGATTTGGAGCTTTTGCAAAGGAAATGAACAAGGGATAGAGAAGTTGAGAAGATGAGATAGATATGCAAAACAGATCTCGAATAGTTTCTTTCTCAACTATCTCTTAGTGGGCCTGTAAAGCAGGACCCCAAATGGGCTTTGAGTAACACTCGGCCCAAAGAAAGAAAAATGGCATGTTTCTTGCGGGTTAATGAGAAAGTTAGCAGTCAACGATCAACCCATTGAGGATCAATCATATTCTGAACAGAGAAGGTTTCCCCTGTTTGTTGAAGAACCCAGAAACAGAAACAAGAAGCAGAGCAAACAAGAATAGAAAGGAACACAACGATATTTTTAACGTGGTTCACCAATTTTAGGTTACTCCACGTCCCGAAAATAGTACCCACTACTTCTGAGAGACCCTGATTTTATTTTTATCTTTTATGTGAAACAAAAATAGAGTATACAATGTAAGACTCTGTAACAAAGACTCAAGAACAAGCGAAAATGAAAACGCAGATCCCAATCCAGATCTTTTACACCTTGAAATGATCAAAACCTATTCCTTCTGATCACCAAGCCCTTGAGACACTAACTAAGCCCTCTACCGCTATAGTTTATCACAAGTGATGATCACATGCAGTCTTCACGACTTTAAATAGTTTGCTGGAGATGACCGTTGTGGTTGAAAATTTTCCATTAGGGACAACCTTGATTAACGGTCCTGATTGCTTGAGCTCTTTGGATTGAGGTAATCTCCCCCTTGATTTAAGCTTTCAATCACTCATCAATCTTCTTACTTCAAAAGCGCTCAACAAGTATTTCTAAATTCTCAGTATGTATTATGTAAGGCCAGGAGAGTAACAATGTGGATGATAAGCTTTTGTTGACTAGAATAGACATTGAGTTGGGACCAAATACCATACCTTATCAGCCAGAATGAGATAAATATATGAGAATCACGCCTGAGTGAGGGAGTGATTGGAGAATCGCGGTCCTCAAAGTGAGGGAGGGCTCAGAGAATTGCGCCGCTCAGAGTGAGAGATAGGTCGGAGAATCGCGTTGCTCAAAGGAAGGGAGGGATTAGAGAAACGCGATGCTCGGAGTGAGGGAGTGATCAGTGAATTGCGCCAATCATTGTGAGGGATGGATTGGTGAATTAAGCAGATAGGAGAATGTGGATAGAGAGAGAGAGACGTGGTGGCGGTGGGAGGATCCCGATGACAATACCGAGTTGGAATTTGAGCTCAGAGTTTTCTATTTTTAATGTGAATACAAATTTCCATTATGGGTACCAACTACTGATACCGAGTTTTGCGTTAGCAAGGCTTTTCGAACCCCTAGAAAAATATTTTGCAGATTTTTTCTAGAAATAACACCATTTAAGAAAAAAAATTCGAAAAATAGCACCCAGCCCACACAAATTCCAAAAATAGCACCTTTTTTTTCAAAACCGCACGGTCGAGGTGCGGTTTACATAGAAACTGCATCCTGAGGAAGTGGTCCTTGCTAGGGCATCCCGAGAATCGCGCTTTGACGATGCGGTCATCATGCACGACGCAATGGTCCCCAGGACCTTTGGATTAGGCGCGATCTAACGGCCAACCGCACGCCAGCGTAGGGATCCGCGTCAGGGATCGAAGACCGCACGCTTGGGGAACGGTTTACGCCTCGGGCTCCGTGAACCGCTCCCTCCAGACGCGGTTTTGTTAAGGGTAAAATTACTAAACCGCCCCTGGAAGGTGCTGTCTGAAGACTACAAATACCCCATCTCGCCTCTCCATTTTTTCACACCACAACCCATTCTTCTCTCTCTCTCTAAAATTATCTCTCTATGCATCGCCGTCCCCTCCCAAAAGCCTAGGAAATAGTGGTCTGTTGGTTGCGGTTGAGTCCGATCTGCCATCAGAAAACATTTCTTTGGTTTTCCTTCAAAACCCGCCGAATCTCTGTCCGACTTTCGCGAAAAAATGGACGAGTGGCTCCAAGAAGAGGGAGTTTATTATGATGAATTTCAAGCGGTACGTACTCATTTTACCAAAATTTTGTTGTTGTTATAACCTTTTTAATTAATCTATGTACTAACCTTGTTGTTATTCTCTTGTAGGTCGGGGACAGCGTGGATATATACAACCAATGATATTATGCTGATCAAGGACCTAGTGATCCAACTGTGTTGTACGACCAACCCAACCATCGTTCAAGAGATGTTGGAACTATCACGAGGTACATACAATTCTTTATCATTTGTCTTTCTTTTACTCACCTAACGTACTTAGTGGAATAAAAAATAAATTTTATCATTTTTAATTGTATTGGTTGTTTTCAATAATTTAATCGAATACATAGCGCCACTTACTTAGACTCCTTATAAAGAGATGCATGTATAAGGAAATGGGATTTTAAGCGATTATCATGATCCTCCCATTTCCTGGAAAAATCGGGATTTAAGCGATTCTGGGATCCCCCTTTTCTCTCAAACGGTTGCGTTTCTAAGAAGATGAATACATCTTCTAACAGTCTAACAAGTGTTGCATTGTATTCGATTAAATTTTTTAAAACAACCAATACGATTAAATTATTAAAACAACCAATATGATTTATGTGTATGTGTACAAAATTAATTTTATTACTTTCAAATATTTGAATATGTATCTCTTTAAATTATTATTCATTTAAAATATTATTTATTTTAATTAATTGATTATGTTTGTTTTATGAAATTATGTATATATCTTGGAAAAAAACTTGAATTATTTTAAACTGTTTGTTATAATAGATTTTTTATAATAAAATTATGGTCAAAGTTAAATCATTTATTTTAATTAATCTAGTCATAAAAAAAACCTTTTACTAGTATATCATAAATAACGTCAAAATTTTCACTAGGAGGCACACCAAATAATCCGCTACTGGGGTACGACCAATGTGCTCCAATGGAACGACATTATCTTGCCATTTCTCAAAAAGGCACGGTTGGAGTCGATTAGGCATTTTTCAGGCGTAAAAATCGACCGTTATCTCATCACTGCATTGGTGGAGAGATGGCGAAAAGAGGCACATTGGTTCAACTTTCGAGAAGGAGAGTGGACCAGCACACTAAAGGATGTCGCCATCCTAACCCATCTGCCCATCGATGGCAGAGCGGTGTGTGTGAGTGATCATCCTCTGGGGGATGTTGGCGATATGACCAGTTGCCAGCATTTGATCTATAGTGTTTTGGGGGTGCAAATTCCGGTCAAGGGGAACGTTGATGCGACAGATCGCTTAGCACCATTGAGGACCAACCAAGTATCAATCACTTGGTTGACGAAGTGGATGAAGAACCTGAACCATCCTACAAAAGGTGGGGTGCCCCTAGCCGAGGAAAGTCCAGAGGAGGTGAAGGAAATATATGCTTGTGTCTATCTCATAGGCATGATAAGAGGAGTGTTCTTACCCAAGAAATCCAACAATTTAATTAGCTGTGGATGGCTTGAGATCCTCCTCGGAAATTGGGATGCGATGGGGGAGTTGAGCTAGGCATCCGCTTGCCTAGCTAATATCTACCACCATTTGTGTAATTCATCTCTCAAAGCTGTGAGGGAGGCTGGCGGGGCAATGTTTATCGTCCAATTTTGGGCTTGAGAGCATCTGCCATAGATTGCACCGGTCAAACGTCCCAACAGGAATTTGCCAATCGACCATCCCCTATGAGGTGAAGCTTGTGGTTGTAGGTAAACTTTTCATACCCAATCATGATTTTCATAAAATATTTTTGTTTGTTATTTAGTTATAACATTTCATTATTGTCTTACTAATAAGGTGGGTTGGAGCCACAACATGCGACAACCTTTCCGAACACAAGTTGGCAGAGTATCGAAGGAGGCTAGAGAGACTTTGGGAAGGAGAGGTAACTAGAATACTTTGAAATGTTATTAACTTTTTTTGATGAAGTACATGTATTTTCCAATTTTGTTTAACTTAAATTAATCATTTCTTTTTGTTGATCATTTACGATCCATTCCCTGAGAACATCGTTCACTGGCATTACCAGCAATTCCCTGGTCATATCGGTTAATGGTGCACGAGATTCCCTCTCATTTGTCACCATACCGTGGAGTGGCACCTGCCGGATAGATGCCTCCGTCAGTTTGGTCGGGAGCAATGCATTCCTTTGGAGGTCCCCGAGAGTGAAAGAGCGTTTCACCACCGAGATGGTCGCCAAGGCTCAAGATTGGCCCATGAATTTGAAGGAATTCATCACCATCTGGGAGAACCGACAAGATTTTGAGATTTTCACTCCTACAAATGTGAGTCGAATGGGGTATCATGACCCATAAATGGATATATATCGACAACAATCGGTTTGGTACGTGACTCCGGAGGGTGCGATCGATGGTGCATTGGTAAGTAATTTCATCTAATCAATTAAATTTATTGCACATTCATGGACATATCACGAGTTTTAGCTTGCTAACTTTTTTTATGTGATTTATGTTAATGGGCTCGAGCGTATCAAAGATATGACCCATGGTCGAGATCAACTGGTCAGAGAAGAAGTGGGCTTGCTGAGGAGGATGACAAACATCTTGCTTGGGTGTATCAGAGCACGGGGTCGTGTTCATCATAGATACCCACCCATTCCCGTACCAGTACCACATCCGATAGTTATTGATGTCCCCAACCCCCCACCGCCATACCGGAGAAGGCAAAACAAGAAGACTCGGGAAAGACCTAACGTGTCCGACATCACTCCGATTGAGGGGTAAAAAGTGCGGGGTCCTTTGGATGTGACACACGGTGGCGGTCCGAGAACGTACCCATGTGGTGGAACGAGTACGTATCAACAAGATCCCCACCCGATCTACCATCAAGATCCCCACCCCAGATCCTCCTATGATCCCCGCCCGAGCTACCATCAAGATCCCCACCCTAGCTCCTTCTATGATCCCCGCCCGAGCTACCAACAAGATCCCCACCAGTGCTCCCCCTATGATCCCCGCCCGACATCCTACTATGATCCCCATCAGGGCTCCTCCTACAATCCACGCCAGGGCTCCTGCCACGATCCCCGCTAGGGCTCCTACCATGATCCACGCCCGGGCTCTCAACAATCCCCACGCTCGATCTCCGACTATGATCCCCGCCCGAGCTACCAACAATCCCCCCTACCGAGCTCCTACTATGATCCCCGCCCGAGCTTCTTCAACGACGGTACATCCTCGAAACTTGGCATGATGGTTCCTCCATGACTGCACAACACGACTTCAATCCTCTTCATCGCCCTCAATAGCCGTGGCCTCCTACTCATTGTATGAGCGTGGTTATCCCACGCTCGACCCCGGAAGATCCTCTTCCCACGGACCTACGCCGCCACAGCACCGACGAGCGCCCTAGAACGGCACATCGAAATCTGCCACCGCCTCCAACCATGGTTACACCTGTCGGCCGTTGTACAAGGAGAAAGAAAGTGTTGAAACCCCATGAGTCACAGGGACTTCCTTGAATGTTATTATTAGTTTATTTAATTGAGTGTTATTTTTAGTTTATTTTCAGTTCTATGTACTTGACTTCCTTGCTTTTGTTTTTCGTGTTAACTTAAGTATTGAGGGTTATTTTCCAAATTCCCTGTTTTTAGTTTATTTCAGCATTGATAACGTGGTTTATGTTGAAAAAAGAAATGCATGGGATATTGGACAAACACGCAAGTTCCAACCATCATAACTTTGACAATAGAGAAAACATACACAATAACTACCAACAAATGATCACTGCAAACTATGTCGCATTAGCCAAGTCCCTCACATCAGGACCCGAATTTTGCGGTCCAATCGGTCTAGGATAATTTCGTTTATCATGCCCTGGAACTCTGCATACGAAACATCGTCTTGGACCTCGTGGTGGTCTTCCACTTTGATCCATTTCGTTCTGAATTCTCTTTACCCTCGGCCGACCCGGTTCACGCCTCTGTCCGAACGACGGGATGATCAACTTTCCTTGATACATCAGCCAGTAAGCTTCATCAGGCAATGCACGGAAACTCTGTTCATAGCAATTTTTGAGTGAGTCGATATTGAAGAATGGACTCACGAAGTGACGAGGGTCTTTGCTCCTGTTTTTTATTACGGCCATAACATGAGAACATGGTCACCCTCTTCCATGATACTTTTAGCAGGAGCACTCACCAAGTTTTGTCCTGAAATTGACCAAAACTTCATGGCGATGGCCCCCACGTCTACCATCCTCCCCGTGTCCGGTCGTCACGCTATACTCACCAGCTGATCGATTCATAACGGTTACAATGTGCTGACTGCTTTTTAGATTGTCATTTTCCATTATTTCTGTGACTTTATAGGCATGGAGCTTTCCTTGTGCCTCATTCGTCCTTACCCAGTGGATTTGATTGACAAACCATGCATTCGTTTTCCAGAAATTCATCTCAACAATGGCAGAGATTGGCAGTGAACGAACCCCCTTGTAGACGGAGATGCTCTCACTTGAGTTCGTTGTGGCAATACCCCATCTGGTACCTCCGTCCTTATGAAAATTCCACATGGTTAGGTCGTTTCCATCTAGCCACTGTGCCCCTTCAGGGCATAACTCACGCATCTTCTGCAACTTCTCCCTGAATTTTTTCTCTTGGTAGGCAACAGCTGAGGAACACACAGAAAAGTCTTAAATTAGTGTTAATTGTCCAATTTTCAATAATTAAAATAACCGACAGGTACTCTCGTTATACTCTTAGGAGAGGTATACATCTCCTTAGAAACACAACCTTTTAGACAGAAAAAGGGGGGAATCTAAGATCGCTTAAAACCCGATTTTCCCAGGAATTGGGAGGACATGATAATCGCTTAAAACCCCATTTCCTTAGGCATGCATCTCTTTACAAAGATTCTAACAAGTGTTGCATTGTATTTCCTATAAGCTTTTGGTATTTGACAAAATCAAACAACCAGTGAAATAGAGAGCTTACCAATCCACCATAAATTACCATCAAGCATCCTCCTCTTGAAATGATGGTTCCAGTTTCTCTTGAAGTGTCGTATGCACCACCTTTGGGACCACTTCAGGCTGGATCCAAACCTAAGATGGCAGCTCTGATGCCGGCGTGTCGATCAGAGATGATTGTCAGGTTCATTCTCCTGATGACGTGGAGCTGAATTTGCCGGAAAAACCATCCATAGCTATCGGCATTCTCTCCCTCAAAAATGGCGAAGACTAAAGGAAAGACTTGTTTGTTTGCATCTGCCCCACTGCCAATCAGGAGAGTGTCCTTGTACTTGCCGGTATGGAATATACTATCCACTTGAATCACATGGTTATAGAAGCCAAAATCATCAATAGATGGCTTGAATGTCCGAAAAAGACGTTTGAAATGGCGTTTGTAACCGGGCTCTGGCGATTGTATCTCTTCATCTTGGTATCGAGGGGAGAAAACAGTGTCAGGGCTAGACTTCTCCAATGCCAAAATCAACTTGGGAAGGAATGCATATGATTCTTCCAAGTCACCAAAGACGGCGGCCAGAGCTTTCTGCTTTCCATGCCACGCCTTTTTATAGTTAATAATATAACCATAACGACTAGAAATGTCAGCAATTATGACTTTCACCTTCAGGTCAGGATCTTACTCAATTAGATGCTTGATAGCCGCGACAACCACCCTGGATTTCAACTGTCGATGGCCTTGGGATGTTGATATGAACCCAAATAGCTCAATACACAAATCATAGTTGCTTAATCAAACAACACCCTCAATCACTAACAACAACTCTTATTTTTGGCTAAGTTTATTTTCAGTTTCAGGTTACCCACTTTGGAGGCTTGGTTCTTCCACTCCGTTTAATGAAAATGCAAGTTTGATGGTTGGTATTGATCCTGGGAAACTTGTATACAGTATGAAATGTTTGAAAGCTCAAGGCAAAGCTCAGAAAGCCACCTTCCAAGCTTCTCAAAGTATTAGCTCAAAACCGGAAAACTTCCCAAGAATGGCATGTAACAGTTTTGGGAAGCTCACTTGGGAGTTCGTTTCGAGGAGATGGAATGAGAGTCGAGTCTCGAGGTTAATAACACATGAAAGCAGGCAACTTCTAGTACAACGACGAGGAATTGGATAAGTGAAAGCTTACCTAGAAGGCATCGAACGAGAGGTCCAAAGATAGTGTCGAGGCCACATTTTCTGCCTTTGGAGTCATGGAATCCGAATCCTGATTGGATTAGGATTAGGCTGCTGTTTCAATTTTATTCCGTTTTTGTGTTTGTTTTGGATTCCTTTTCGTATTAGATTGTAATTGGAACTTCTTCAATAGTTCTTAGGCATCACTAGGTCTATTTAAGTTAGTTGTTTGCGTTGTAATCGTCCATTTTTGAATTAATACGAACACAAAGTTGAGCTTTGGTTCATCGAGCTTGTTGCTTGACGAATTAAACAGATTGCTTGGGGGATTCCGAGCAATCGACAGCTTGTCGATCGGTTCTCCACCTTGATCGTTGCCAAGCATCGACCATACCTATCAAGCCTTCGTCCTAGTGTACGATTG